GAAGGCTCAAGTGGCAAGAGACAACTGGATTTTTTCCAAGGGCTTGTGGTCTATGGGGTTAATACCCAAATATGTGCTTATTTCGTGTTTTTGATGTTTTAGTACACCTATGCTGTGTGTTGTCATTTTCCATGGTGGGGGAGTGTTGCGTGGGACCTGAGTGTGGCTGAGTTCAATGTGGGTTTGCATTGGTCGTTATCACTTGGTCTAGTTACTCTGAAGTGAGGACACACAGTGGTTCTTTCTCTGCCCATAGTTTAGTTATGAACATTGGAGACCTCGGGTCATGCTGACAATGGTCATGAGAAGGTCGTGTCTTTTGAATAATGAAATGTGTGTCTTTCTAGGTTCTTGCTCAGAATTCCGGTTTTGACCTTCAGGAAACGCTAGTAAAAGTTCGGACTGAGCATTCAGAATCTGGTCAGCTTGTGGGTGTGGACTTGAACACAGGTAAGATCCTAAGGGAAGAACCATTGATAAGACAGGTGAAGTGAAGCATCCAGGAGCAATCAAGAAGAGGGAACCAAAGAATCTGAGTGCTTGCGCGGTACTGCACCACTGCTACCTTGGGTTCTAAATGGGACTAAAACCTATTAATGACATGGCTAGGTGTCGGAATTAACGGACCAGATGTGAGCAGGCGTTAACGTTTCAAAGCGTACCAATTTGTTGGGAGCGGGGGTTGGTCGGTAGGAGATGATTTAGGGTAGTGCTTACTGAAGGGCTTGCCATATCCTATTTCAATGAGGAACTTTGGAATCTCCCATCTGAATTTGATGAGAACACATTCGTGGGTGGAATATAACTGAAAGATGAGATCAAATCTAATGGCATTTAACTGGAGCCAGAGTGAAGCCTGCTCTTAAGCTCACATAATAACAGATTCTACAGGCACACAGTAGACACGCAGGAACAGGGGACAAGTGGGAGTAGAACATTTGGCCACCGAAGAGATGGTTTTTATCCTTGGAAGTCTTCAAGTAACGCCCAGGGGTCATAGTGTGGAGTAGAAAACAGGCCCTGTAGGAGCTATGGGAGTCCCCCCATTGGTTATGACCGATCAGTGCTGAATCAACCACTTCACTGTGGGTTTACAAAAACAACTCATTTTCAGGTGAGCCGATGGTGGCTGCTGAAGCAGGTGTATGGGATAACTATTGCGTAAAGAAACAGCTACTACATTCCTGGTAAGTTTGAGAAAGCTTAAACCTTTCATAACCTTTAGCTTATGTCTTGTTTTAGCCCCCTCCTCCCCTCATAACTCCCCAATTTAAAATGGGAACTAAAAGTAGACAGGCTGAACTGGTCCTGTGTGCGTGGAGGGGGTGAGAAATGAGACCGGGGTTGTTGTGCATGTGGGGGCGTTGGGTTGTGGTTGGAATCTCCTCTCTCAGCCTCCTCATTTCTCCTGTTCAGCACTGTGATAGCTACCAACATTCTCCTTGTGGATGAGATCATGAGAGCCGGCATGTCGTCTCTGAAAGGCTGAGTTGAAACCAGCCTGCCTCATATCATGGGGATCATGGAAGATTCTACAGAGTGATCCTAAGAACAGAGCAATGGGATTTTGGTCCAAGCTGAAAATTATTCTCAAAGGGATTTTCTGTTCTGATGTTGCAACGGGAGATCACGGTCAACTTAAATTCTGGAAGTTCGTAAATTATAATTACAGTATTTTTTAAATGGCACTGAAGTATGTACACATAGACTAGTGGTTCTGCCCTCGGAAAGAAGGGATGGTTTTCCTTTAGCTTACAGTACACTTAGACCATGCATATGTTAACTCCCTTGTCAATAAATATGTCTTCAAAAATCACTTAGTGGCTTAATTAACTGATTCAATTTTATACTGAACATTCTAATGTCAGCACATTTTTTGAAGCATCTCCATGTCAGTGGTACACATTCCTCTGAGTATAGGGGCTAGATCCATTGGATTTTTTGCATCTTGGAGATAGCTTTCCTAAAAGGCCGCCTCCAAAAGAGAAGCTTATACTCTAGCACAGGGGTCCTCAAACTTTTTAAACGGGGCCAATTTACTGGCCCTCAGACCCATTGGAGGGCTGGACTATAGTTTAAAAAAAAAACTGATCAAATTCCTATGTATACTGCACATATCTTATTTTGAAGTATAAAACAAAACTGGGCAAAAACACCCAACGGGCTGGATAAATGTCCTTGGCAAGCCGCATGTGGCCTGTGGGCCATAGTTTGAGGGCCACTGTGTCTAGCAGGTGGAAAGGTGGGTGCACTGGAGGCCAGGGAGTGAGGGAACAGCTAAAAAGATCTCTGTAGGCATAGTGATAAGAAAGGGTGAAGGTGTTGGCAGTCTGGCTGCCCATACTGGCACACCTCTATCTTTGCTTCCATTGAAGGGTCCTCTGGCATCAACCTTTTCTCATCCACGTTCCTATTGCACCTCCTTTCTCCACAGAACTTCTTAGAGTTGGTTTATTTCTGTGTCCTTGAAGGTGGTCTTGTATTACCTAGCTTTGTTTTAAGGGTTTAGCAGTTGCTGAAGGTGTACAATAAACATTGAAGTCCATTCCTTCCCTGTGGTAATAACAATGGTGTCATTCGGGTGAGAAAGGGGTCAGAATGTTCCATGGGGCTCCTACCATGACAGCCACACCCACCTTTGTAGTTACCTCGCCTTTCGAATAGCAGTCCCAGGTCCCATTCTGTTCGTACTGCAGACTAGTCGCCACAATTGCCCAATAAACCAGCTAAGCAAGGACTTGCTAGTGCTTACCAGTCTAGCAAAGAAGTTGGCCTTTTTTCAAGATTTGGCAGGAGCACTGCTGGTCATAGAGGTTACCAGTGAGGCTGCTAACTCCAGGGTCGTTGGCTTAAACCTGCAAGCCAGAAGGTTGAGTTTTTCTCCTCCCTTAAAGTTTGGCAATTACAGCCTTGGAAAAACTTTTATCATCTGTTCCTACCATTTTCCCACAGAACTTTTGAAACTGTGTGTATGGTGTGACTTAGGGTTTGAGTGGAAGGTTACAGAGCTAATAGGTTTTCCATTCAATCATTTATACACGTTGTGTTTTGCGGCACGGATGATGATACCCTCAATGTCCTGGCACCATTCCCACTTCTTCCCTGGGTGCTACTGTCCATCTGTCCCACTTTCTTGTCCCTTCTGCTGTCTGAGCCTTGGATGAGGGACGAGATCAGTGGGCCTGGAGGAATGCAGGACATACCTGATGTCTTACAGGAAATATGTCGATGGCAAAGGGTTTAACTGTCACCACCCGGGCAGGCCCCTCACCATCTCGGGCGTCTGGAGAATTTGTGCCCATCTGAAACTTCCCACCTGGCAGCTGGACCATGCTGGCAATCTGTCCATTTCCTGCAGGGACAAAGGAGCCCTAAATGGGACATGCAGGTCCCGAAAACAAGTGGCACTGTGTGTACCAAAAGACATACGATGGTATAATGACGAAAACAAAGAAGGTGTAGACACTCGGCTTTCGATCTTGACTTACATCCCTGATGAAATGGCACTCAAGTTTCCGGGGGAGTTTTGGCACATTACAGCATCGATGTTTCAATCGCCTCATTATGAAATGGAGATAGCGTCTAATGATCTCAGAGGGGGCGCTTGGGTGATTGAGAAACTCTGAGCCCTGGATAGATTTCCACCAAATGTTTTCCTTAGTCCTGTACCCAGCCCTCTGTCCCAGTTGGGTCAACCTACACAGGGTCCCCTGAGCCACATCTGCAAGCCGGCTTCCCTACCTGCACTTCTGCCCACTAGTTCTCAGAGCTTCCTCTCCACTTGATGAATTCCTAGTCATTTGTAGCACTCCTCACCCCTGTATTTCTTCATCTCGGAAGGGGCTTCAAAAAGTTCTTGGAAAAGTGGAATTGAGAGGGGGTTGGGGGGAGCAACTCACTCAAGTCCCCACCTGCTGCGTCGGGTGCTTTGCTTTCCTTTCCAAATAAACTTTGCTTTCCGCTGGCCGAAAAAAGATAATGGCATTCATTTCCCTCACGAACTTCTGGGAGCCCCCTTGTAGGAGACACAGAACTAAGGGCCACAGGTGTGTAACACGCACAGGGCACACAGGGCACGAATACCCCAGGCGCTTGAGTGGTTTGCAAAACCATATAACAAGGGCATCATTGGCATCAAACTACAACTACAGCAGTTGCCCCCGAAGGGCAGCGACTGCAAGTATTTTGCCCGTATCCCTAGGGCTGGCAGGAGCGCTCCAGAAGCTGACCTTAAATGAGCTGCTTTCCGGTGGGTCTTTCGGTGGAGAGCAGTACGCCGCGTGCGCGGGGCGGGGCCTTCCACGGCGTCGTACGTGAGGGGCGGGGCCGAGGACCGACCGACCTCGCGTGGCAGGCAGTGCTTCCGCGCTTAGCAGCAAGCATGGGCTCTCCACTGCCCCTCCTGCCCCTGCTGCCGGTGCTGCTCGTCCCGTGGCTCCAGCCAGGTCAGTGTGCTGACCGGCCCCCCCGCCGGCCCACTAGCCCAGGAGGGAGCTCCGCTTGCAGGGCGAGGAGGCCGGAGGCCGGCGGCTGACGGTGACCGCGGGACCGCGCGCGCCTGGCTTTACTAAAGCCCCGTAACTTCGTTCTTGGCAGTCTCTTAAACGCGAGAACATGAACGAGAGAACAAAACGATCTCCCCTCCGGCCTCCCCGCGCCTGCCCTCGATCCCATTTTTCTCTTGTAGTCTATGGGGCCAGCGTTGAGTGTGTCAATGAGGATGTGCTGTGAGGTGCTGTGGGGTCGGTTCCAGCTCACCCAGTGTACAACAGGGTGAAACACTGCTGTCTGGGCCCATCCTCACACTCCTTTCCCCGTCTGAGCTGATTGTGGAAGAGGGCTTGAGACCTGGGCTGGCACGTACAGAACTTAAATACATACCCCTGCATGAAAACCAAGCTCACTGCCAATGAATCCATTAGGACTCAGAGCTGCCCTGTGGGAAAGGGTAGAGCTGCCCTGGGGGTTCACGATAGTAGAAAGCACCATCTTTCTCCTGCAGAGCAGCTGGTGGTATAGAACCACTGACCTTTCAGGTTACACAACCCAAAGCATAACCACTTCGCCACCAAGGCTCCTGCCAGAACATGACACCATAAAGCAGGACGTCATTCCCAAAGAGTGTGGCCCATTGGGAAAAGTACTGAACTAGAAATTAAAAGACTTGGATTTAGTCCTGTCACCTGCTAACTAATGGCTTTCCTTTCTGGGTCTTCATTTCCACCCCATCCCTTTCATTCTGATTCCCTGAGGCAAAAGACCGACTGGAAAACCGCCCATTTAAGGTCAGCTTCTGGAGCACTCCTGCCAGCCCTAGGGATACGGGCAAAATACTTGCAGTCGCTGCCCTTCGGGGGCAACTGCTGTAGTTGTAGTTTGATGCCAATGATGCCCTTGTTATATGGTTTTGCAAACCACTCAAGCGCCTGAGGTATTCGTGTCCTGTGTGCCCTGTGCGTGTTATACACCTGTGGCCCTTAGTTCTGTGTCTCCTACATGGGGGCTCCCAGAAGTTCGTGAGGGAAATGAATGCCATTATCTTTTTTCGGCCAGCGGAAAGCAAAGTTTATTTGGAAAGGAAGGCAAAGCACCCGACGCAGCAGGTGGGGACTTGAGTGAGTTGCCCCCCACCTTCCTTCTCTGTCAATTCCACTTTTCCAAGAACTTTTTGAAGCCCCTTCTGAGATGAAGAAATAGGGGGGTGAGGAGTGCTACAAATGACTAGGAATTCATCAAGTGGAGAGGAAGCTCTGAGAACTAGTGGGCAGAAGTGCAGGTAGGGAAGCCAGCTTGCAGCTGTGTCTCAGGGGACACTGTGTAGGTTGATCCAACTGGGACAGAGGGCTGGGTACAGGACTAAGGAAAACATTTGGTGGAAATCTATCCAGGGCTCAGAGTTTCTCAATCACCCAAGCACCCTCTCTGAGACCATTACACGTTATCTCCATTTCATAATGAGGCGATTGAAACATCGATACTGTAATGTGCCAAAACTCCCCCGGCAACTTCAGTGCCATTTCACCAGGGATGTAAGTCAAGATCGAAAGCCGAGTGTCTACACCTTCTTTGTTTTCGTCATTATACCATCGTATGTCTTTTGGTACACACAGTGCCACTTGTTTTCGGGACCTGCATGTCCCATTTAGGGCTCCTTTGTCCCTGCAGGAAATGGACAGATTGCCGGCATGGTCCAGCTGCCAGGTGGGAAGTTTCAGATGGGCACAAATTCTCCAGACGCCCGAGATGGTGAGGGGCCTGCCCGGGTGGTGACAGTTAAACCCTTTGCCATCGACATATTTCCTGTCACCAACAAAGACTTCAGGTATGTCCTGCATTCCTCCAGGCCCACTGATCCTCGTCCCTCATCCAAGGCTCAGACAGCAGAAGGGACAAGAAAGTGGGACAGATGGACAATATCACCGAGGGAGGAAGTGGGAATGGTGCCAGGACATTGATGGTATCATCATCCATGCCGCAAAACATAACGTGTATAAATGACTGAATGGAAAACCTGTTAGCTCTGTAACCTTCCACTCAAACCATAAGTCACACAACACACACACACACACACACACACACACACACACACGGAGGGTTTCAAAAACTCTGTGGGAAAATGGAACACAAAGATGGTAAGAGTGTTTCCACAACCTTTTTGAAGCCCTGGAACACGAGGTTCTCTGGAATGGGAAGGGGGCCAGGGTCCCTGTCAGCTGAACCAGGTGCAGCCTTTCTGCAGGGAGTTCGTCAGGGCGAGCAAATACCGGACGGAGGCGGAGTCCTTCGGGTGGAGCTTTGTCTTCGAGGACTTGGTCTCTGATGAACTGAAGAAGAAAGCCACCCACCAGAGGCAGGTGAGAGAGCGTTAGCTTGCTGCTGTGGGCATGGGCCCTGGCTGGAGACCGCTGTGGGACATGCCCCCCTGGGGGCTGCAGACCGGAGAGCTGGAGACTGAGCAGAAGCTAGAGAAACCCACCTCAAAAGAAGCGCTGCTGCCTGGGGGAAGAGGCGGATGAATGGATCTTGGGTCAGATAGGGTCCCGGCTGAACTGGCAAGGGGAGATCTTGACAAGCCTCCCTCAAGTGCCACAGCCCCCCAGAGATCAGCTGAGCCTCAGCCTCAAGAGCCTGCACCTTACACCAGGGCTCCTTCTCTTTCAGTCTCTCCTCTGGTGGTTTCCTGTGGACCAGGCATTTTGGAGGCAGGTAATAAGTGTTGCTTTCTATACCTCATTCTCTACCCCCATTGAAGTGCATTGGCCTTCCTCGACCCCTTGCCCACTAGGATGCTACGCCTAGTTGAAAAGGATGATGGGAGAAAGGTTTCAGGGGATCAGCCAAGCATTCTGGTCTCTGCCCTGCTTCTTTTTCCTTTTCCCACGGCTCATTCCCACTCCTATCGTCATCTCTTCCCTGCCCCACTCTGCTCTCTGCTCCCCCACAAGCTCTTCCTTCTGACTCCTTGCTCCCTCTTGTGGTAAATGCTGAGCCCAGGCTACTAAGCCAAGCCTTCTGCAGACTTCCGTGACCCCAAAAGCCTGTCTGCCTTCACCCTGGCTGTCAGCCTGCAGGTCCCGGCTCCGGCATCCGAGAGAAACTGGAGCTGCCTGTGCTCCATGTGAGCTGGAACGACGCCCGTGCCTACTGTGCGTGGCGCGGGAAGCGGCTGCCCACCGAGGAGGAGTGGGAGTTCGCCGCACGAGGGGGCCTACAGGGTATGCAGCGCCAAGGGGGTCTCCTGTTTTGGTCCCCTCCCTGCCATGCAGCGGGGGACTCTTTAGGGTGCAAAGGGTTCTTGATCCCTAGAGCAAAACCCACTGCTGTCGTTGTTCCTGATTCATAGCAACCCTATAGGATTGAGTAGAACAGCTCCAGAGGGTTTGTGAGACACTAGTGTTTAAGAGGGGAAGGCCTCATCTCTTTCCTACAGAGCAACTGGTGGATTTGAACTGCCAACCTTGCCCTGAGCGGCCCATGGGTTAACCCACTATACTACTAGGGCGCCAGTGTAGCTTAAACTGCCTGTAGTGCAGGATGAGATGCTATGTCTTCATGTCTTATCCATCTCAAACCAAGACGTCAATAAAACACTTTAACAATGAACAGCTGGAAAGATAGAGCGAAAAGTCGGACTGAAAATGCAGGCGGGCCCCAGTCGCTACTGGTGGTCATTCCACAGACATAAGTGACATCTCATTACACGCAATCAGAATAACACAACACAGAAACATAACAGCAGCTACAAGTACACCCGTTTTCTGCAGGTGAGGTCCTGGTGGTTACTGTATATATTCGAGTATCAGCCAACCCGAATGTCAGCCAAGGCACCTAATTTTACCACAAAGACTGCATAGAAAATGCTGGAAAACTCGGCTTATTCACGAGTGTATACAGTCATAGAGCAATCTGCTACTCACTTGGAAATGGTTGTCACGGATGACATTGAAAACGATCAGGAGCTCAGGTCTACCCAGACACGTGGGGTCGCCATGAGTCAGCCTCAACTCAACGGTTTTGGAATCAGTGGTGGCGAAAGTGGTGAACAGGCGCAGCTGGGGACCCAAAGATGGTGTGTTCTGGTCCACCCAGAGCGCCTCAAAAGTTCAGAAGGCCTGATGGTCTACTTCCCCCAACCCTGTGGAGGGCAGTTCCACTCTGACATGCCGGGGCCACATGTTGGCATCACCTGGCCAGCACCTGGCTTTTAACCAAAGCAGTGACGTGTGAAACCATGGTTCCCCATAGCAAGCTCCTCTGCCTCGCGGCGTGAACTCGGGCATAGCCATAGGTGCCGTCTTGGGTGTGACAAAGGTTGCTTCTTGCTGGTGCATTTCTCTCAGCTTAGTTCACCGAGCAAGCTTCTCGGTCCTTAGTCTCCATCTCTATACTGATCTCACCAGGGCCATGAACAGTTTACATTCCGGCACTGGTCCAAGAGCCACCTTTAGAACTCTGCGGCCCTTGAATACAGCTGGGGCGCACACGGCATGCTGAGTGGAAGGCTGGGTTGGATGAACCCCTGAACGGTGGTGTGTGTGTGTGGAGGGATGCCTGGGCAGGAAATGAGGGTGGGCATGGGCAGTATGAATAAATCTCTTCT